ATGTTTTTGTCTCGACCGTTGCAGCGCCGATTCCAGTAACATTGCACTCGTGTTGTTACTGTGTGGCTGCTGCCCAGACAAATATACGCTTTGCAATCTCAGCAATTTTGCAGTATTACCTTCTAAGTCACGCACCGTTTTTCTCTACACACGTGCGCCTGAAATGCCTAGACTAACATTGCGATTTGGCAGCAATCCTTCATGGCTGCCTCTGAATGCAATGGCACTCAGACATCAAAAACCTGTGGCGCTCCACGTTTAATCACTATCGCTTTTGGCATTGGCTGGCCAAGCGTTTGACGGGTTGGGGTCACTGTGTAACACCAAACATCTGGTCCACCGACGCTTGTAAAGAAGCAGCGTGGCGTCGCAGCCGGTGCTTGAGTGAATCGTTTTTATCTGGCCGTTTTCATCTGCCTGTTCACACTTTGCCGTTTTGTTTTCGAGCACTGGTCAACCCTAATTCTGTCGCAGTGACGCTCCTGTGTCGAGATCGCCTTTGACTTGTGACATTCGCAGCTCCATATCCCAGCAATCATTCAGGGCATCATTATCTCTTGTCGTTGCTTCCACTTCCTTGTGCTGAAGTACCTAGCGACAGGCATGGAGGATAATCGGCGTCAGCTGAAGCCCGCGAAATGGCTGGGCTGTTTCAAATGCCTTTACGTCTATAACCTGAGTAATTCGTGGTGTCAAGATTACGTCTGTGCCCTGACTAACCCTCATGTGAGGCTATTAAGAGTAACAACAAGGCAAAATGATCCAGTCAAGCGAGTGCATCTTCTTGCTTTCCCCTTGCGTTTCCAAGCCCCATGTGTTGTTCCAACTTTCGGATACCTTGCGTTCTTGCTCAGCTAGCAGTAGGAATGTGAAACAACAACCGCGCAAGCACTGTAACGTAGCTTGGCAATTAGCCTATACAAATCGAAGCAATGTTGTCAAACCAAAAGACTAAAGCAAAAGGAGCGGCCCATCAGAACCCACAGTTCATACAGTGAGGTCCTTCCCTTAGCCGCCCCTGGGAGCTCGGCAGGGGCGCATGCTCTGCGGCTTTCCCTCGCAAGCTCAGAAGCTGTTCAGAAGAGAACAGCGGCGAATGCAATGACAACAAGGGCAAGGAATGCCGGCGCTTCTGGAATAGCGCTGCTGGATTTGAGGCCAGCTGTGATTTGGTCCCACTGCTCTTGCCTGAGACGCACAATCACTCCTCTACAACATGCAGACAACTGCACGGGAGGCGGACGGAATAAACAAAATCCGAAGGGAATACCTGAGACACCGAAGCATTCAGTATGTTCAATTGAAAAAGGGGCTTACGTAAAGGGTTTTTGATCATCCGTCAATGCACTGGGGGTCGTAACGCAAATCAGCGCCTTCACGTCCTTTTCTGTCCCTGTATTGTCCTGACTGCTTTTGGATTTTTGTGTTGCTGCAGGGCAGACGAAGTATGCACAGTCAACCTTAGGACTTGCTTGGGGATTGAAGAGGGAGATGAAGGAAACATTTTGAGCATTGTCGTAAGGCTTCGTGCCTGCGGTATATGCTGGAGGCAACTCCCCGTTGAAGTTGGTGAAGGCGTCCTTCCAGTAGTCCACCGCAGCCTTGCAGTCAGCATTTTCCCCTTCTTGAATTGCGTAGGCGAAGGTGCCTTCAGTTTTGGGGGTCAACTCTTCAGGCGCTGTGTTCTGTTCACAATGCACAGATTACGGTAAAAAAAGAAAGAGCCTGTATGTGATCTGTGCGCGTGTGCTTCTAGGGC